AATTTTCTGGCATCGGAAATTAATCTCGCCGAAAGTGTCCCAACCCGATTCTACGACACGCATTTATTTTTAATTTTCAGTAGCTTTTAGTTTATAATAGCCTTCTCTTCAACTTTATTTTTTCACTACTTTTCGACTTCTTTTACCTAACATGACACAATTGTATTCAATTTACATTCGAGTCCGTATTTAAATGTCAAAATTTTTCTATGACTTGTAATCGTTTTTAATTTAGAGCAGTCTGATTCTTAGCTTTTTTTATAAAACGTAAAAGTAATATTTACTTTTACAAGTCTGATGACAGTATTTAGTGATAAAAATAAGAGACGAATCTAGGTTTTGAATAGCACAAAAATAGTATGCAGTTAAAACATATTCTCATATATTATGTAGACATTATTGAAAATTTTGTGAAAAAAATCTGGCACGTCAGACAATAAAGAAGTTTATTGAATTAGAACAAAACAATACACTTAAATTTAATAAACTTAATTTTTACTTATTATTTTCACGATGCAAATAGGTAACAAGAATTGTATAATTGCAACGTTAGAACGCGTTAGTACAGCTCGTATTGATGATAACAACGTGAGTATGCAAGCAATGCCTAAAGCGTACAGCATGCAACGCAATGTACATGACAAATAGTTAAAAAAGCCGCGTTATTCAGATGTACTTTTATGTATTCACGGTATGTGACGTGTTAAGGCACGTTTATGGCACGCGAGTCACAAATTGTATGGCGCATGTACGATGCTGTAAGATGATGCATTTTCACGGATCAGTGAACGCAAGTTGTGTATTCTCAACAAGTCGCGCGTAGTTCAACCTTCCTTATTTGCAAATTTGAATCGCCGCGAGACATAACAAGTCAGCCAAAATTAATGAAAATTATCACATTAATTTAAAAAACCAGCAAAAACTTAGAAATCTTAATTGTAAAAATATTTTTAAAATTCCAGTCTGGAAGATATAATAAGAGCGTTTAATAGAAATATTAATTGCTCGTATAATTATTAAATACGAAGTCACATTTAATATGATAAAACAGATGTACTAGTGAATTAAAGAGTTTTTCTTTTTTTCTTAAAGTTTCTTCAATTTTCCTTTTTCTTTGAATTTTATAATACTTGCAGGGAGGATAGTAATCTGTACGTTGTGTATCTACTTTCGAGTTTTGCAAGTAACTTGTAGTTGTACAAAACTTTTTTCTGTGTTAGTGCAAATATTACTCCTGCAATTCATATTTCCAGTTAGTACGCTACTTTTTTAAATATATACGTGTTATTTCTACGTCTTTCTTTAAACGTTGGATAAAATCGGAAGCGGAATTATCGTTTTTCTATTTTTGCCGAATCATAAAACTGATTAAAATAAAATGATTTAAATTGCGTAAACGTGAAAACTGTTAATTATAGAAAGATTAACCATAAAATCGCTAACCATTATCTTACAATTAGTTGTAACATCTTTTTGAAGATTTATACGAAGTAGGTATCATCATTTCATATACTGACAATAGTGTGGCATTTCAAAGATAAAAATTCATAACAAACACGTCGCGGGCTGTCTAGACATTCGCTGATCGCCGATCTCTGTTCCCGAGCGATGCATCCGAATGCGACTCTGCATCCTGTGCGCGTTGTACACTGACCTTTACATGTTCAGCCTCGCGTTTGCCGTTGCCGTCGCGCGCCGCGTATCGAGCACCTGCAGACAGTTCTCGATTTGCCGCGGTTAATGCATTCCCGCGAACTAGCGTGTAAATCAAATTCGCACAAAGCGAGAACCGATTTTGCCGTTCGCAATACGAGCGGTTCTTGTTCGGGCGCGCTTTTGATTTACGCGGCTTTGGATTTACACGGTAGTTTTCGGGCACGCATTAACTGTGTGCGCGAGTCGAGTCGAGTCGAGTCGAGTCGAGTCGGGTCGAGTCGAATCGGGAGAACTGTACCAATAACATCGCGTGCAGTTTTCACCCCTCGAGTACGTACGTGAAGAGTAGTGTGCGCAGGAGCTCGCGCGCTCGCTCGCTCGCCCGTTCTGTATAGAGATGCAGCCGCATGCGCGCATACATCTACACGCACATACGTACGGACACTGTACGTGCAGCGTATGCCGATGGGTTGCGGTTTGACTCCGGTGGCTACCGGATAGGCCGCCGTTATTATCCGTAACTCGCGTTGTGGTAGGAACGGAGCAAACGCATCCGAAAATCCTCCATCCGAGCCGGCCACGTCAGCAATGATTTTCGTTCCGTGAAAATTGTTCCGCGTTGAAGAACAAACGAAGCCATCCATGAGCGCTCTTAATTGCAAGTGAATGATATCCCAATTGCGATGCTCCGAACGTAAAGCTTTGAATATCATGGACTTTGTCGCAGTTGAGAAATTTGAATTTTTATTATTTTAGAAATATTTTTATCATCGACAATCTTCCCGAGGAATAAACGACCGTGGAACTAAAATTGCTGCTAAAATACATAATGCGTGTCCGAGGTTCCTTTATCGACGTTCGGAAGTGAGCGATTGAATTAAATTCCTCGTTGAGTGCTTCCGCGATATAAGATATGCGTTCGGGTTTTTGGTAAGAGGGGGGGTCCGGGTCCAACGTAAAATATTTTACTATTCGGCGGAGGGCTCTCATCCCTTTTCATCGTATTCTTGGGGAAAACTGATAAAAGGATCTGGAAGAATATGGAGGACGGGGGTCGGGCTCGTAGAGAAAAGGAGGGGACTCCCGGTTTAGGGTTTAGGGTGAGTTTCCGCGTATCCGCGGTAAAGCTTCGACGGTGCGCCGGTGGAAACGATCGGATTACCATTTTTTAGCGCCCGCCACCCACCTGGCGGGCAAAGAAGCGCGGTCTCTCGCTCTCTCGCCATCCACCAACAAGTAATTCCGTGTTTTCAATCTTGGCGAATGACGCGGAAAGAGCACCGGGCGAAGGGATAGTTCGGATCCCGAGACAAATGTCGCTGGACCATAAACTGAATTAGCACTTTGCGCTGAAACGAAACGTCTAGTCTGCCGTTGAAATCTTAGCTTATTTCGAACGACTTAGCTTACGGATCGGATTCTGTTCGCGACAGATAACTGTCGGGCCCGATTTCATTCTGCCGTACATTAGCGATGTGAAGCGGGGCGTGTAAAAGTCGAAAATGTAAGAGAGAACGTGAGAGAATTTTATTCACGGGTAAATACAAAGCATTTTATGAAAGAATTGTGTAAAAAGAGTAACAATTGTTGCTCGTATAGCGCTTATGTAGGTAAGTGCGGTATTTTAATGGTCTTTAAAAAAACTTTTTAATAAAGAAGGAATCAGGAACAAAGTTAGGTATTTAAAGCGCGTAAAGATGTTTAAAATGTCTTAAACGCTCGCATTGTAAATATTGAATTGTCTGAAATTATCAACTTATCTCTTTCAATATATTTAATACGTGTAGAATTATTTAAAAATTATAAAAAGAAATTTATGATAAAAAGAACAACATAATTATAATTAGTAGGAGGACAGATGCCATATATTATATATAAAATTATTGAATATTGTGCACTTATATGCACGAATTGTCTGAAACATGCGACTTATGAAATATTCTTTAAACATTCCTCAACATCTTTCGTTGCTTGTTGTGAACAGCGTTTTGATTCTAAGTTCCGTGAATTTCCTTACGAAATACCAAGGATGGATGTTAACAACAGACGGATGATTTTTAGTCTCTCTTGTTGCCCTTCGGGGATGCTGCCGATAGTATTCGAGACATGCCCTTCGAGAACCTTTATGAAATCGTGGCAAAGCATACCTGGCCCGAAAACGCGGAGGTGCCCGGTGCGATCAGGTATGCCGAGAATGGACTGCAAGTTGGCGAGTGGAGGGTTACGTTTTCGAGAGCGGAAGGCGGAGTGAGGGATGCTTGCGAGCCATCTCTCGATATCTTTTTCATATCGGACACCGATGTTTTTCTTGCCGCGGAAGTAACAGCAAGACCGGAAGTTAAAAGCGAACATAATGCAATACATTTATGTCTGACGTTTAAAATCCTGCCGACAATGCGTCGACAGAGAATTTTTAGCTCTTCATAGCGTAACACGTTATTTTATAACGCAATATCTTTTTATTTCGCTATTTTTGTGCGGCTCTCAAGTCAAATGTAGTTTCGGAAAATAAAGCGGTATTATTCCGCAACGTATGTGTGAATAGAATAATGAATAGATATTTTTCTGATATTCCTCTGTAGAGATATGTAATAACACTAGTAAATTTTGTTGTAAAAAAGAGTATTACATATTTGTAAAATAGTTTTGCCGCGTATAATATTTTTTCACAATGCGTGAGCTATTTCACAAATACATTTTTAAAACAATTTAACGCCTAACGCGAAAGAAAAATGAAAAATCGTGTAAAAATGTTAAAAACAGTTTATTAAAGTTTTCATCTCGCGAATGGATAAACTTTCGAGAGAGGTAATAATTTAACATGTAAATAGAGGTAGTAATGTAACGCATAAATATATGTATATACTAACACTCACATGCTTACGCAGCAGCTTTTATCGCGCGGCAGATATTATCGATTAACATTATCATTTATCCATTTTCGCCGATTTCATAAACGTAACAAATCGATATGAGCTCTATTGAATATGACATTAATCTTAACGTGTATTAAATTATTTTCCGGGATGATAATCTTCGTCTGATACGTTTTTTTTTTTTGGCGCACGGACTAAAAAGAATTCTTCTGCCGAATTTTCTTTCCCTATCGATGTCCATAAACCTTGACTTTAGCGAACCAAGATGAAGACGACCGGTCCAAAGAATAGCGGCTCTTTCGTAGTTCGTGGGTTCCGAGGATCCATCCCGGAGTACGGCACTGAGCGCGATAGGGTGGAAGAACGAACGAAGCCGTCCGGGAGGGGAGATCGCGCGACAAGGGTTGGGAAAGCCGAAGCGTGGCTCCTCCGGGTGGGGGGAGACGGTACCTCGAACGACTACGCGGGCCTGTCGAGCACCCCTCCGCTCAGTCCGACCCGGACGTTCGAGGGAGACGCGTCTGTCTTCCGTGTTGCACGCAGCAGCCGTACACACGTTGTGCGACGTTCTCTCGCGCTCGTTCGCGTTCGTAGGATTCGTATTTCAGAGTCAGTTTTCATCAATTTGTGTGCTCGTGCATACGCGTTCACGCATACACGCGTGAAGAAAGGGAGAAGAGAGACGAAACGATACCTCGTGCTCGCGGTACACGAGGAGACCATCCCAGGCGGAAAACGGTGTGCGTCTTGCGTTCTCGTCCAGACGAAGACATAAACGGATATTCAAACGCATCATTCAAACGCAGGGTCCGGAAGGGAGAGGAAGATACACGGGGGAGGGAGGGAGAGAAAGCGAAGAAAAAGCTCTCGCGTCTCTCTGGGCCGCCTCGCCGCCGGCTTTCCACGGCCACGAATCGATACCACGCGACCGTCGTCGTCGTCGCCGTCGTCGCGTCGCTCGTTCCTTCCTCTCTCTCTCCCTCTCTCGCGAACGCGTGGCCCTTCTTGCGCTCTTGGCTTTCCTCCTCGTCGGTCCGGGGAAAGTAGCGTTACGCGCGCTTCCTCCGCGAGGAACGCGGAAAGACGCGCGCGTCCACGAGGACGACGGTCGACGTCGGGTTTACTTGCTCGCGACGCGCTTCGGAGTGCGCGACGTAACTGGAAGCTCTCTCGCAGAAACGGCGACGTTGGTCGTCCACTCTGGATTGTTCTCCCACGGGCGGGACGGTGATCGCGCGCGAGTATCCGACCGGCTGGTGTGGACTTTTATAAGTGAAGCGGTTCAGTGACACGTGACGCTGTCTGTTTTCCTGTTGATGTGTTCTGTGACGAACAAATAACGTCGACAGGTGTGGCTACGACAAATATCTTCTCATCGCATCCACGGAGATTTTCAATCGCCTGATTTATTGTACAAGTATGTAAAATTTTGCTTTTTTTTATGCACCACGAGTGAGAGCCGAGACAAATTTCGGAGCGGGCGAGTGGCTTTCGTCGCGAGAACGCGCGGCTCCGTGAGTTCTCCCGCGTTGCCCGTCGTCGACTTCCGAGGATTACGCGTCTGAATTATTACGCTTGTAAATTAGGCGCTCTGGCCACCGACCAAATTACCGACACCACTAACTCCACGATTTCGCCGTGCACCCGCTCTTGTTAGACTCCTCTAATCGCATTTTCCTGTGAAATGTGAATGTCGCGTGCTCGATACCACGTACGATTGTCGGTACTTGACGGCGTAAGTCAATTGCGTTAATTAATCTTTTGCCATTCGAGTGTAATCTGTTAGCGTCTCTTTGTCTGTGCTATTGTACTTAATCCCCGAACGAATCGCTTGACCACCAATCGCACGGCGAATTAAGTTCATTCAGACTCGTACTAGAATTTTGTTGATTCAAGATAGAAGGTGAAAACGGGCGAGAAATAGGATGGAATTTTGTCTCAAACGATGTAAACGATGACACGAACGGGCTGCAGAGACGCGGTATTCGAAGAGCAAAAAAATAAAAATACTAAAAATATATTTGAAAAGAAAATGTATATCTTATGAAAATGTGATATTCTTCGTTATTCTTATACTAATTTCTCATTCAAATCAGTTTCTGTAATTTTGACAACTTTGATGTCGATAATAGCTAAAGGCAGAATTTGATATTGGCTCATTTGTAATTTGAATTATGTTCATATTTTATTATTTTAGTAAATAACGTAATCACTTGACACGTTCACGTTATATTAATGACTTTTGATTAGAAAACTTAACTTTAAAACGACAGAAATTATGTCATCAGTTGCATAAGGGAATCGTTGTAATTAATATTTATGAACCGTTAACACACATTGTTCCTTCAGTATTGATCTTGCGTATATACATTTGCATTTATGTATCTTCCACGTGTGCTTTAAAACGCGACATCAAAGATGTTGCAATATAATTCTATCTAAAAACGCATGCGAAAATATTTTGCAATTTCGATAATTCTACAATAACATATAATTGATCGTAACTTTTAATATTGGACGGGCTTGAGCTTTTTCATTATTTCTTTCACATTTCTCACATACCTTTTTTTTTACAACTCGCGCGCACGCCGCAAGATACAGGGCGTTTTCTCGAAAATACACTTGTCCGATTCAACATCTCGGCGGAAAAATCTCATGAAGCATCGCAGAAGCCGCAGAAATCTCGTGAGCTTTGAAACGTTTGCTCCCATTGTCGAAAAATTAATCGTCCTTAACGGGGTCTGATGTTAGAAATACGCCGACGAAACGGACAAAGCGAGCAGTCGTCAAACGAGAGAACTCGTGCGGGCACATTCTCCATTCTGATATAATTTATGCCTCCGACATGCCAGACGACGACCGACGCGCGGACTGCCTCTAATATTTCGGAGGGCCTCTTTATATTCTCAAAGACAATCCGTCGACCGTATTAACCCTTTAACGGACAATGTAGAGCGCGCTTTATCCAATGTTTATAACGCATTAAACAATAAAGAGGAGTGGATTTTTTTTTGCACTGCTTTAGATATAATAACTTCAGATTTCTTTCCGTTGATCTTTCGCATTAACTTTTTTGATTTATTTTTAATATTAAATTTTATCTCTGTTTTTAATGAAAATAAACTCTAAGCTGAAAGGTACGGCTTAGTAAAAGATGAGTTAACCAATTGTAATTAATGGATTCCTGTGATAATTTTTTAAATAGAGAGGATTTAATTGATTTAAAAAATGTGTTAATTTATGTGACATATTTATAAAAAATATTTTAATATATCACTTCAGTAGCCAATATTTATCACTTATGTTCCGAATGTTTAAAAAAAATTCCTAGCTACATTTTTTTTAATAATTTATTTGTTTTTAATTTTGGCTAAGAATGTTTTTCATATATTTCAACAATAATACTATAAAAATATATATAAATTGTTGAAATTGTAATTTTAAGAACTAATAACATTATTTCTGTAACACTGACCTTCGCCTATATTTTTGCATTCACATCTCCGGCGTGTATTTTTAAACTACAGCACCGGACACGTAATCGGCCACACAATTATCATTCATTACACATATTCATGCGCGCGGGAAGCATACTTTTCAAGCCCGAGAATTTCGCAATAACAGAAGCAATGACATTGATCGAGCGAAGTCAGTCTTATTTCTGCACAGAATTGGCCGCTTTCGTGTCGGTTAAAGCTAAAATATATCGCTGATGCTGGGATAATAAGAGGGCCGCTTCTTTGAGAAAAATTCGATCGGTTCGTGGAATCGAGTGTCGTCTTACGTAAATAAATGATCGAGCGTGAAAAGCCAAGGGAGAAAGTACACAATAACAGACCTATAATTTTCCTTCTTCGCCTATAGAAGAGTTCTATAGCGTCACGCGTCGTAGAACGGCGCGATAGATATTACCGTCGCTCTGAATTTCCTCTCCGGGGGGAGTGAGAATATAAGTACACATTTCACCCGTTATTGTTGGCTGAATTAATTACGAATTTATGAAGGAAGTTGTGAAAGAAACGGGAAACTCTTGGCGCGCGCGCTCGAATGCAGCGAAATAAATGTCCGCTCGCCGGAAGCAGGAATTCGGTGAGCAGATACGAGTACGTCTTATTCTTCTCTCTTTCTCTCTCTCTCTCTCTCTCTCTCTCTCTCTCTCTCTCTCTCTCTCTACTCTTTCTCCCACTCTTAGAGTGAATACGTCGAGGTATATGAAACTTACTGAGCGGAGATGATGCCCCTATATTTTAGTGCGCTTAATACGGCAGCATGTTATTGTGTCTCCGGAGTTCTTGCCAGGAAACCCGACAACTTTGTTTCAAGGGCTTGCGTTGTCCGAGATACCTGTGGATTAAGACACGGCGCGCGATGAATATCGTTTAAAGCAGTGTCGAGAAACTACGGAGATGAGACGACGACGACGACGATGACGAATTCGGTTATTCTGGACCTCCGGTCTACGCTTATAAAATTATTATCTGACTTGAATGCCCGATTTCGTACGTACTTGAGAAGAATAGCGAGTAAACAAGAAGAAGTAAATAAAAAATATAAAATATCACGTTATTATCGAAAAATTGCTACTGCTGTTAAAAAAAAAAATATTCCGAGTTTACGGGAAATTAATGTCGGTATTTCTGGTTATCGCGTTTATATTGCTCGATCGCGGACGTTTTTCTGCCGAGGTAACTGCGCTCGAGAACTTGTGGGCGGTGATCGTGCGTAAAGATGTTCTCGCTTTATTCCAATATACCTTCCTCGCCAAAAATACCTTTGGAAAGAGGTTTCTCTCGCGTTGCCATAAAACAGAAAATCTCATCGGCAGCCTTGAAGCGGCCCCGATCGATCGTAACCTTCGCAACGTCATGTACACCCCCGTCTGCAAACCCTCTCTCTGGTTTCTCTAAAAAAAGACGTCGGTTCGACTTATAGACCCATACGGTTTTCCCGGGCGATGACTGCTGCGCGCGCTTCGTACACGTACGCTTATTTAAATACCAAATAGACCGTTCTCCGTGAATCCCGTGGTCTGTGATTTTCGTGCCGCTCCGTCGTTGTCGTCGTCATCGGAGGGTCGGATCGTCGTCGCGTCGTCGAGGGTGTCTTCGGGGAAGGGCTGTTGGGACGTGCCCTCAAACGAGGCATAAAATCGGAGATGAGTCTGTCGTCGCGGTGCGAGTCGGCTTCGTCGAGTGGGAAAGAGAGAGAGAGAGAGAGAGAGAGAGAGAGAGAGGAGGAGAAAGGGTCGCGAAACTGTTTCGAGCTCCACGGGGCGCATTAATCAATGCAGAAGAATAGCCCCTGCTCTCTCTGCCCACCCCTTTTGTCGCCCGTTCTGTTGTTAGTGCGTATAATCGCGAACGTATATATTTTGTCTGCGAACGAACGCCGAGCCGTTTCTGGCGACCGGCGACATCGGGGATGAAAGAATTACCGAGCGGTGTGCAGGACGCATTCTTTTTCGCCTACAAATTTGCGCCAACAGCTTGGAGTTGATGTCTTCTCTCGATGAAAATTTGATTAGGGATATTAGCTCCTTTCGCAACTTTTTAATTTGCGATATTAAGTCCCCTGGCAACTGACTCACAAAGTGAGATTCTTAATTAAGGTAAAGTGCATTTGCAACTAATGGAAGAATAAGATTTTCTACTTGCACCTCCGAAAGTTTGTCGCTTATAATTCGAGCACTATTAACCCTCTAACATCCTCTTTAAGGAAAGATTGATTAAGATGTTGAAGGGCTTGTAGATGGAGGGATTCATTTTTTTTATAAACAGTTGAAAATGGTAATAATAATTGAAACATTTTTGTAATAAGAGCGTAAGCCGAACAATATAACTTTAGAGACAAGAGCTTCAGATTTTGATTGAATAAACTTGGATATAAAAGAATAATGTAATGTAAAGTACGCTTATAACTTATAATGATTGAATAGTAAATAGCTATGTAAAACATTGTAAAAATATCTTTTTACTTTCCGTTATGTTACTGCATCTTCATCTTCTCAATTTCATTACTCTTTTGATCGTAAAAGCGACTCGTGCTGCGCCACGCAAATACTCGCGGATTAAAAGGAAGCGCTGTCGATCCGGCGTGCCTATAAAGAGTCAATCGAGACCGTCCCGCTCTCTGAATACAACCGCGGAGAGAATCGCAATATCGCGCTCGATAAAAATGATGCGACCGTATGCGAAATTCCGCCTTGTTTCTTCATCCTTTCCCTCCGCCTGAGTGCCGCGAAACGAGCCCGCACGGTGATGACGATAACAATGGGGTTGTTTTTATGACCCGCGCATTTCTGTCTCTCTTTCTTCGGTCGCGCGCGCGACGCCTC